TGCTGCAGATATAATTAAATATTATCTACTGATAAAACAATTTAGTCTTTAGTCCTTCTGTGTAAACCATCGGTTCCAGCTGAAATGGTGAGACTATGTCAATATTTGTTAGCTGTAGTAATTTTTTTATGCTATTTATCACATCTGAAATGCCGAGCTTTTGAAAATTCATTGAATACATTAGAAATATACAGTAGATTGATAATTTGCTCAGCTTGTACAAGGCAAAAAATGGCACAATACCCCTTGATTACTACGATTCTCAGATCTATTAAATGTTCCAACCAAGTCATGTAGAACTCCAACCTACAAAACGAAAACATTTTTGGTTGCATAATCAGTAAAATAATTTATTTCATATTAGCTGTTAAAGCAGTTTTACTGAATAGTAGCAAATGTTAAATTATTAGTTTTCCCAGTTTTAATAATGCCAAGAAAATTCACCTGAACTGCCCTACCTCAAGGGAGCTTAACTAAATCTAATTCAAACTAACAATAGCTTGCATTCTACAGAAACAACCCATTGATATTTAACCTCCCTGGCGGTATGATTATTTCAGATTTTTGGTGCTGAAAGCGGTACCATTATTTTGCATGGAAATATGTAGTTTTTTTAAATAATCATAAAAAATAATAATAATAATAATAATACATTTAATTCAATAATATAATCAAACCAAAAACACTGAAATGTGAAATATAGCGCCAAGTTCGCACATCACTGAGCAAAGTCGCAAAATTGTTTTCAGTGTCTGATGACGAATTTCTCCACGAATCATTATCACTCAATTCTGCAAGTGGTTCTGATTTACTATCGCAGTTCTCTAGCCGGTCTAAACCCGCTTTTGACCTAAAGGGACGCTTTTTGGACGCCATGGACTTTTCTCAGTTTCCAGGCAGAAAGAACAGTCAAAATGCAGACAGGGGACAGGACAAAGCACTCGGGACAAAATGTATGGAAATGGTTTGAAACAGCAATGTTTTACTATGTAAAAGTTGTTTAGAAAAAAATGACATTTTTTAAAATTTTCAAATTTCCCGACGCCGGCGGCGCCCGTACGTCCCGACGTCACAGGGACCGGAACACAGAAGCCGGATGCCGGCATCGGCCGGAGGAGATGGCCGGGGACACTGCAGGGGACACATCGCGGGAGCGAAGGACAAGGTAAGCTCTGCAGGGACTCCCTATGCAGCGCCGCATGGTAAGCCCAAGTGTAGCTCGGGGTTACCGCTTTTGGCACTGAAACTTTACCCCGAGCTACACTCGGGAATACCGCCAGGGAGGTTAATGAATGAAACTTTCAAGCAGACATAAAGGGAAAATATGGTGTCCACTTTGCTAGGGAAATTTGTTCCAAAGCTTAATGAATGTGGTGAACTTTCACTTTGCAAAGAATATCTAAACACATGAGAGGTAAATTTAAACAAGTAGCATTTTTGCTTGCACGTAATCGGATAAGGAAAGTCAGCAGAACTTCATCTCATTCACTGATCTCTAGGGCAAATTCCTTTGAAAAATTCAACTTCATATGCAAAATGAACATCCTATTTGCCTTTTGAAAATTAACCCAAAATATAAAAATTAGATAGCTCTTAGCACACTTTTCAGGGAAGGTAAGAACCTATCAACTTTCAATTAAATATATCAGCACCAATGGAGATTCGTGGCCCTTCACTTTCTCCAACAAAGATTAAAGCATACAGCATTTATCAATTGGGTCTTATACTTTTTTTTCTTTCAATTCCACTTTCTTCCTACTAATATTTATAAAAACCCTTTCCAGCGATACAGATAATGCTATCCACATATAAAATGAGCTGTATGTGGGTAATCTGTTGCTCTATTTACAAAGTCATATCATTAAATGAGATGAGACATTTTCCACCGTGTCCAGCATTCACCGAGCAAATGCAAAGTATTCCTTAAATGGCACCCATGCCAGTGGTCAACCTCGTGTTCACAATGCAGCCGTGCAGCCACTCAGCACAGTGTCTATTACAGTAATTTCCAGCTTCTAGAGGATCTCACAGGTATGGTAAATGCATACTTGTCCACACTGGACCAATGTCGATATATAAAATATCCATACCTAGAGATTTTTTTTCAACCACAATTCAGTGTATACAGCATTTTCTGAAACCAGAGACAATAGAGAATATAATTGATCTAGCTGAATTTTTTAATGTTGCTAAATATATGTGGATTTATTTATGAAATGCATATTTTCAGGAAAAAATACACTATGATGAGTTTTAGTGCAAACAAACACAATATTGTACTAATTTTATGGTAAAATATAAAATATTGGATTGAGTCAAGAAAATAGATGCCCAACATGTCAAGGCTTATAATTTTGCAACCCTGTGGAATCGCACAAGGCTAACACTTTAAAAGCCTTTAAAGGTTATCAGTTTAAAGTTAACCATGAATTATGGCCCTAGAATAATTACTCCAATGTTCATGATGATTCCTCACATATGTGGGACAATTGATATTTGCATACAAGAGCTCGCCCTGTGCTGTAGTATGTGTAGGCGTTTAGGGGTTTCATTCTATTTTTCACACTTTTTACGCTGGACCAATGTAACTTTGTAAAAATATCCATACCTGCGATTCATCTTTAACACTTAATCCATCCTCCCAACACTTCTGTTGCTCTCTTTGCCCTGTACTGTGTTACCTCTTGTAGCAAGCATGCAAGTCACACTCTAAAATCATGCAAATTATAAAATAATCCTAGTATCAGTAGAAATTTTTTCTGAATATACTGTGTATATATAAATATATACATACACACAAGGGGCATATATACACGAGGGGCATTCAAGTCAAACTGGGACTTTTAACTTTACAGGTATAAAAAGGGATGCTAGCTTGGCGGTACTGCATGCAGTAGTAAGTGGCAAGTGTGCCCTATTACTGATAGGTGGCGCATATGTCGCAGGCTAGCCCAGAGACCGTTAATCAAGATGGCAGACAACAGTGTTAGTGCATGCATGGAACAGCATGTGGTGATGAGGTTTCTTATGAACAAAGGCGTAAAACCTGTGGATATCTACAGAAGACTTCAAGCACAGTATGGTGATGAGACGCTCGGACTCAGTAAGACATTCGATTGGTGTAAAAGTTTCAAAGGTGGCTGTATGTTCATCAGTGGCGATCCTGGCAGTGGTGGTTCCCAGCCCACAGCAGTCATTCCTGTAAACATTCAGTGTTGGAACGCCGGATCCTGGATAATCATTGCATAAGCTGTCGTGAAATTGCACAAGAGATGATTATTTTTTGTGAAAACGGTGAACTCAATGATGAAGTGAAGCAGGCTGTCCTAGGACGGTCAATGCGTACTTACAAATCTTTCTATGCCAAAGCATTCCAGGCATTAGTTAAATGCTGGGATAAGTGTATAGCAGGGGAGTATATATATAAAATCATGTAAATTATGTCCTTAACCTCCGCAACATCTCCAAAAAACTCCCCTAACTAATGATACCATAAAGCTCCTAGTCCACTTTTGGTCATATTTCGCCTCTACTACTGCAACTCCCTCCTCATTGGCTTACCTTTATATAGGCTATCCACCCTTCAGTCCATCATGGATTCTGCTGCCAGACTCATCTGTCTTACCAACCACTGAGTGTCTGCTACTCCTCTCTGCCGATCCCTCCACTGGCTTTCGGTCACCCAATGAATTAAAGCAGAGTTCCATACCCCCCACCCAAAAAATTAAAAGTCAGCAGCTACAAATACTGTAGCTGCTGACTTTTAATATTAGGGCACTTACCTGTCCAAGGATCCTGCGGTGTTCTCACCCCGAGCTGAATCTTCAATTGGCTGTCAGGTGCTGGCCCCACCATCTTGACTAAGGGAAACCAGCAGTGAAACCTTCCTACTGTACATGCTCAAAGCACTCTGCACTTCGTGAATGGGCCACAGTCCTCTGGAACCTGTGGAATGTCCCAGAGGTATAAGGGGGCCTCGATCTTCTGGGTCAGTTTGCCGCGGTGAACTGAGCCAGAAGTGGGAGTGGGTACCTGTCAAAAGCAGGTACCTGCTCCCCCTTGCCCCCCAAAAGGTGCCGAATGTGGCAGTGGAGGGGGCAGGAGGCAGATAAGTGGAGCTTCCACTCATGGCTGAAACTGCTCTTCCAATTCAAAATACTAATAATGACTTACAAAGCTATCCACAACTCTGTCCCCAGCTACATTACTAACCTAGCCTCAAAATACCAATCAAATCATTCTCTATGTCCTCTCAAAACCTCCTGCTCTCTAGCTCGCTTGTCACCTCCTCCCATGCTTGCCTCCAGGATTTCTCCTTAGCCTCTCCCATCTTCTGGAATTTCCTACTCCAATCTATCTGACTATCTCCTACTCCTCTCTGTCCACTTTTAGGCAATCCCTTCTCTTCAGAGAGGCCTACCCTTCCCGAAATCAAACAATTGTACGTTTATTTTCTCCATCAGCTCATCCCCCACAGTTATTAACTTTTGTGTCTCTTGACCCTCCCTCTTATTTATTTATTTCAGGTACTTATATAGCGCTATTGATTTATACAATGCTTTACATATATATTGTACATTCTCATCAGTCCCTAATGCTCAAGGAGTGTACAATCTAAAGTCCCAAACTTACATTCATATACTAGGGCCAATTTAGATAGGATCCAATTAACCTACCAGCATGTCTTTGGAGTGTGGGAGGAAACCCACGCAGGCAAAGGGAGAACATGCAAACTCCAGGCAGGTGGTGCTGTGATTGGGAATCAAACCAACGACTCTAGTACTGCCAGACAGAAGTGCTAACCATTTAGCCACTGTGCCGCCTCTCTTAGATTTGAATTTGTCATTGTACTATCTGCCCTTATGTAGTAAAGTGCTGTGTAAAATGTTGGCGCTATAGAAATTCTGAATAATAATAATCATAATAATAAGGATTGAAAATATAGATTTATTATATGCAAACCTGCTGTATTTTGTCCTCATAGAAAATTATTGTTTTAGGCGATTGATAAACCTGATATAAATACAACTACTGCAAGTAAAGAAAACCTGGATCCACATCAAGAGGTAAAGTAGTATTTATTTTTGGTCCCCATCCTAAGCAAGTCCCAACATTAAATATTAATTTATGTTTTTAGATGTGTTCTCCTGCATTACTTAGGCAACAAACTGAGGAGATATGTGCCGCAATTGATGAGGTGCTTCATGATGACCCTCTGCCCGTGGTAACTAAAAACCTTTTATTCTGTCACATTCTAATTCACCCAGTTTAGTTCAATTTCTGTCTCTGTAGGTTACTCTCTATCTCCCCCCCACTTCCCTTCTTCCCTCTTTCTTTCTCTCTCTCTTGCTTAACAAATAAGAAAATAGTACAAATATTGAATTAATTACAAAAGCACTCAACCTGCACTTGTTTATTTTATTTGTGTGTTAGGTGCACGACCATACTGCTCTTCAGTGTACAGTAACCAATAAATGAAAAAATGCCAGCACCAACCAAAACAGTCCTACTATCTAAATTTTCTGTTGTCTTCCAGCAGATGTAAAACAAGATAGTTTATTATAATTCGGATTAAACATTATTTTCAAGCAATGCATGGTATTGGCTTAAAATACCTTCCCCAGATGTCATGCAAATCACCTCCATGGCATAAAGATTGACTTCTGTTTTATGTCGCTTAATTAGCTCCTTTAAGAGTTACAGTATCTGAACACTATTGTGCAGGACAATATTCAGCAACTGCCAATTACTCCAATGTATTAAAGGATATATTCACTTCAAATAAATAAATGCACCTTTTTTTGCAGGTAAAAAGCACTGCACCCAATCAGCAGAGTGCAGGTGAAATATCAGGCTACTGCAGACTCTCAATACAGCTTTCTGCCTGTATCACCCATACAGGCAGACAGTTACTGAAGTCCAGAAAGAATCAATAAATCACAAGAGTACCCATCAGTGCCTCTGCAGTTCATTGAGAACTACAAGTCATTTGTTGGGTGCAAGATGGGACTTTTAGTTCATTCATTCACAGATCACTGTAAATGAATGACATGGCTGCATGGGCGGAGCCCTACGCAGCTGGACTGTTTTTGAACTGTGACAGCAGGTGCTGGGAGAGGATGCTGTGCCCGCTGTCACGATTGGGGATTGGGGTGGAAAGGGTGTAGGCAGGTGACAGCATAGCACTATAGCCTGTAACATGTTACTAAAGATGAACTTATTCTTTAAAACACTTTTATTATGTACATGGTGAAGTAAGGACAAACGTTTCCTTCCACATAGCAGAGAGAATATTTTCTCCACATTGTAGAGTCGATGGTTTGTTACAAATGTTATATTTAGATTTTAGATCACTATTATTAATGCAGTTCTAAGAATGCAGCCCGGAACTTACCTTTTCCTATTTTAAAATTACAATGCATTGTTTGATAGCTATGAATAAGGCAGGTTGCATCTATAATAAATAAGCTAAGCTGTTTACCTCTACTGAATTACTGAAGACATGTTTATCTGGATTATGTTTGTAAGTTTTGCAATCTTGCCTGCACACCTCTTATTCCCCAAGCTGAGCAGCAGATGAAGGTGCTGTCCTTGTGTGATCTGAAATGAAAATCAGAGAAATGTGGATATAGATATATATATATTGTCAAGGTCCTACCTTTCTTCAGAGCTTGTGCATCTCCATGAGCTGGCATCCATCTTGGTTTTCTGCAAAGCATGGTGGGAACCTTTATGCCTTCAGGCTTCTGCGGCTCCTCCTCAGAAGGGTGTGGTTGAGCACATTTAAACCTGCTGTCTGCAAGTGTGCTCTGCACTTGTGTCCTGTATGTTGCCCTGTTGCAAGCTCTTGTGTTGTTCCCATTGCTCTCCTGGTAACCGACTCGGCTTGGACAAGACTACTCTCTGCGTTAACCCTTTATCTGACCTCCCGTTGCTGAACCCGGCCCGTGACCTGAGTATTCTTTGCCTACCGTCTAGTACTGTCTGCTCCGTTGTTATTGACCCGGCTTGTCTGACTACTCTACTTGTGTTCCCATCTTGCTCCCACCAGCTGTACGCCATTGGCGGCAGTCGTTATCGCAGCTGGGGTCACTCGGGGGCCGCGACCTGGTCTCAGGCTGCGTCAAGTCCATCCCCACCATCAGGGGGCCTGGTGAAGGGTAGCCTGGGGCTTAGACTCCGCGCCCTGAGGGACTCTGGTCTGTGGGTAGTGGTTGTCGTCAGTCGCAGCGTGACTGTACCATAGGCCTGCCTGCCCATTCCAGCGTTCCTGACCTGACACACATATATATATATATATTATATAATCGTCAAAAAGTTTTCTGCACTTTTTTCAACTTTTTATTAAGAATTTCAAAAACATCATGGCAACTCTTACCAGCCAAACTAGTCACATGACACTTTCAGACAGGACCAATTACTACTCCTGCCCTCATCGTTTCCAATGAAAATATAAGAGTGTAGAAACTTTTTGAAGACCACTTGTGTATGTATGTATATATACATTATGTTGGCAAAAGTATTGTGATGCCTCTCCAAACCATTGGATTCAGGTGTTTCAATAACCTACATTTGTGAAAGAATGGGCCACTCTCAGAAGCTCAGTGAATTCAAGTGTGGTACCGTGATAGGTTGCCTCCTGTGCAATAGGTCCATCAGTGAAATTTCCTTGCTACTAAATATTCCACAGTCAACCTCCAGAGGATTTACCCCCCTTAATGACCAGGCCTCTTTTTGCTACTCAGCGCTGCACTAATTCAACTGATAATTGCGCGGTCATGCAATGCTGCACCCAAACAAAATTTACGTCCTTTTTTTCACACAAATAGAGCTTTCTTTCGGTGGTATTTGATCACCTGTGCACTTTTTATTTTCATGCTATAAACGAAAAAAGGCCAAACATTTTGAAGAAAAACAATATTTTTTTTACTTTCAGCTATAAAAAATATATAGTAAACTCAAAGTTGGTTATAAATTTAGGCCAAAATGTATTCTGCAACATGTTTTTGGTAAAAAAAATCCCAATAAGTGTATATTGATTGCTTTGTGTGAAAGTTATAGCGTCTACAAACTATGGTATAGATACTGCAATTTACGCCATTTTTTTGCTATACAGCGCAGCGCTAGTTTAAAGGACAATTACGCGGTCATGCAATACAGTACATAAATTAAATTTACATCCTTTTTTTCCCCACAAATTGAGCTTTCTTTCAGTGGTATTTGATTGCCAGTGTAGTTTTTATTTTTTGCGCTATAAAAAAAAGGCTGACAATTTTGAGGAAAAAAAAATATTTTGGACTTTTTGCTATAAAATATGTCCAGTAAAAAAAATGTAAAAATCAAATTTCTGCCAATTGACAGCAATTCACAAAAAGAAAATTAGGGAACTGGAGAAAGTGCAGAGAAGGGCAACCAAACTGATAAGAGGCATGGAGGAGCTCAGCTATGAGGAAAGTTTTATTAATTTATTTAATTGATCAAATTGGGGCTCAAGAAAATCCCTCCAATGCAAGAGATTTGGTAGTCAATACAAATACGCAATAAGGCAGTATGGATTCTGATAGGAGACGGGTAATTAGGATGTAAGGATATATAAAGGGTTACTGACTTTGATGGAATAATCTTTAAGCCTAAATACTGTTTACATTTTTGCAATGAATCAAAAGGCACACCGGGATATATGGGGTAAAGTAACAGTAACAATGATGTAATCAGCAAAATAGTGGCATTCTGTTTTCTACTGTATATCTTCTTTTCCATCCCCTTAATATGTTAGTTAGGATGTATAAATAATGATAAAAGTTCTAAGGCTAATACAAGGACTGATAGGGAATAAAGGAGACTTGGACCAGCAATATCTCCCAGATGTGGAAGGAATTGGATAAATAGCTGATAGCCAATTTAGTATCCTTTGAACCCCCATTTCTGCAGAGTAAGTTGCATATATTGCCACAAAAGGGTATCAAATGCTTTTTCTATGTCCACTAAGAGTAGTAACATCTCCTGTGTACAGCATATGCAACATAACAAATATTGAAGATTTTCATAATATTGTCACTTGTTGGCATTGTATAAATCCCATTTGATCACGATAGATTAATTCACCCAGATGGACATTCAACCACTGAGCCAAAATGTTAGTATTTTTACATCTCCATTTAAAAGACAAATTGACGTAAAATTTGACTATAGATGCTAGTCTTTATTGGGCTTAGGAATCATCACTATATGAGTGTTTAACATTTCTGAGGATAAGGTTTTAGAAGTTTTGATTTCATTGTTCAATGCTAGCAATCATGGAGATAACATATCAACATTTTTTTTTATATAATATAATGCAAAGAAGCCATCGAGGCCTTGCCCTTTCCCAATTTTTAGAGTTTTGATAGCATGTTCTACCCCCTCAGAGGTGATATCAGTGTTTATTGCTGATAACAGGGCATCAGGGATATGGGGTGATTTGTTCAAAAACATTATCAGCTCTAGTTAAGTCAAAGTGGGAAGTACTGGAATAAAATTTAGCTAATTGTGTTTTAAACTCTACTAAAATTTTCAGAGGATTTACTGCCTAAGCTTGTACTCATTTGTAACTGTATATTAGAATGAGTCAGGTTTAAACACTTAAATTTGTTAGCAAGGGGAGTATCTGCTTTGTTGCCTATTGTGTGATATTGTTATTTAGACCATCTAAGCTTACACGCTGCAGCATTAATAAAAAAATAGGTTATGGTCCAATCAGGTATTTTCCAGTTTTTATAGATTAGCTGATTTGGGATAGGATTTAAAGGTTCTAAAAGCCAAGGATAAGTCCTGTTCCAGTTTGACAGCTAGGACCTGTCATTCTTTTTTTAAAGATGGGGGCCCCTGAGATGCCCCTGGTACCTTTTTAAATAGGCTTTTTTGAGTTTGGACAAGGACACAGGGGCCCCATGATCCCCTATTGCCTGGGGGCCCCATGAGTTGTCAGTCCGCCCCTGATCCCCATAAATACCTTATGGTAAATACAGATTTGAAAAAGCCATAATTCATAATATGGAGGGACCATTCCATCAAACATAACATATAAACTGTGTGCATGATTAACAATTTCAACATTTCTGTGATAAGTCAACATGTTCTTGTACCAAAATATAAGTGTGCAATGTTTAGGAAATAGAAAAGAGGATTCTTATATAATAATTGTATTATAAATAACAAGGTTAGAACAGCATGGAGCCCTTATATGACATCAGTGCACCCAGCAATATTGGATAATCACATGTGCAAACAGATATTCAGTAAGTCCAGGGGATGAAGAACACAACAGGTAACAAAACACATATGACCAGGCTTGGAGACCCATTGGTACATGCTTAAACTGCGTGAGACACTGGAGATCAGGACATTTGCTTGCTCCAGCAAGCACATGCTTTGGTATGCCCTGGGTACATTTATGTCAAACTTGATTCCATGAAGAGGAAACTATGAAATGCTTTGTGACCTACCTAATATATAGTTTAATTCTTCCCTCTCAGTGGGTAGCTTTAATGGCGAGGAGCCACATTTATGCAGCCTAATTTAAACATCTTGTTTGTGCTGAGAGAGTGCGCCCTGCGCTTTCCCAGCATGGCTATCTGCAGGGACCAGAAAGCTCCCAATATTGTGACCTCTGTGACAGCCAATCACAATGGTCACATGACCAGAATGCCTGCCTCTGCCTCCTGGCATTTAGAAGCTCTTAAAGGGCCAGGAGGTGGCAACAGGAAGGAGTTCAGGTATTTATGTACACTAAATACAAAGGTTAGAACATAAAATGGAAACACTATATGATTTGCAGATGTGAAAGTGACAGCATGTTTTGCTTTGAAAGAGGAAGTGTAACATTCTTTTGCTTCCTCTGTCTGATGAGACACCTAGCTAACAGGTAGGTAGCCTCACTTTGGTCAATCACTGCATGTGTTGCTAGTAATACGGAGTCATGTCAGAGTTTACTGATCTTCAAAGAGGGCAAATTGTTGGTGCCTGGGTAACTGGTGCCTTTGTAACTGAAGCTGCCAATTGATTTGCCGTGTCACAAAGTACAGTATCAATGTTTATGACGGTATATAAAGTTTTCGGTTGAACATCATCTGATAAATATAAATGCAGTGACAGGGGCGGGCTGACCATTTGGAAACTCGGGAACTGCTCGAGGGCCGGGGGTCAGTAGGGGGCCCCACGAGATGCCCCTAGTACCTTTTTCATAGACTTCTTTGAGTTTGGGCAAGGACACAGGGGCCCCATGATCCCCTATTGCCCGGGGGCCCCATGAGTTGTCAGTCCACTCCTGCATAGTCAACATGGTCAACTGACCAAAAGAGACAAAAGGACATTGTACAGGATTGTGACCCAGAATAAGAAAACAACTGCTGCAAAAGTGACTGCAGAGCTCAATCTCAGTCTTCATGGGTTCAGAGCATTTGCACCATGGAGAGCAGAAATACACTTAAGCTTCTCTGCATCTACCTTTGGCAAATTAAATTCTGTAGTTTTGAAAGCATGTCTTTCTTCCTGAAATAAGTTCATTGTTGCAAGCAATTCAGAAAAAAATAATTAATGTTCTGTGTTTCTTTCTTTTCTTTTGAGCATTGCAAAGCTGCATCGAAACCTACAATAAGGAAGAGAGACTCTAAATCTGCTATTGTAAGTATTTTTTAACATATTTAAATACAATTATAGAGTAAATGCAGCTCTTAATTTGCACAGTGTTGTGTCAGAACTTACAGTTTTTTAATGTCATTTATGTACTTAAACACAACAAAAAAATCCCTTCCTGGTCTGCCCAGCTGGATGAAACCATAAAATAAATGTATATCTAAATGACTATGGTAAGTTTCAGAGTCAGATTTATAGATGCTGTAGAGCAACAGCATAGAAATGCAAAAGGTCACTCACCCAAAAGTGATATTTAATTTTTTGGTAGATCCTGGAAAAGTAAAATATAGGGGATTCTTGCTACTGGGGACTCCATAAAACATATTAATGAAGAGGATGACTTTAATGCTTCAACCTGGGCAGCACAGTGGCTAAATGGTTAGCACTTCCGCCTGGCAGTACTAGGGTTATCGGTTCAAATCCCAACCACGTCACCAACTGCTTGGAGTTTGCACATTCTACCTGTGTGGGTTTCCTCCGGGTACTTCAATTTCCTCCCACACTCCAAATACATGCTGGTAGGTTAGTTAGTTCCTGTCTAAATTGGCCCTAGTATGTGCATGTATGAATATACATTAGGGACCTTAGATTGTACCCCCCTTGAGGGTTGGGGTCTGATGTGAATGTACAATATATATGTAAAGTACGGTGTAAATTGACAGCACTATGGAAGTACCCGCAATAAAGAAAAAATAAAACAAATATCACTGAAACATCACTTTTGGGTGTATGGAACCTTTAATGGTTAAGGTTAGTGAATGCACTTGAGACCCAACATGTGAAAACAACACTATACATGGGACTTTTTTGGAGTAATTCTGTGACAAGCATTTATTGGCATACAGTATACATAAATTAATAGGTAAAACAGTCCCAGGCATTTTTATTCATGTATTTCAATAAGGTCAATATATAGTGGTACACTTTTCTAACTTGATGGTCAGTTAGTGATGATGTAAGCAGCCACCATTTTGGTTGGTTTGCACAACAGAGTTAAGTTTGGAAGACCATGGCAAAATCTTAGTTTATTTAAAAAAAATTTATATAAATCATATTTACATAATAAATTCACCTTGTATACAGTATGTCATCATTGGATCCTGGTCGGATCAGATCACTTTAGTTTTGTCATTTTTAATTTATGTGCATGTTTTCATATATTTATAAATTTTTTTGTAATATGTGGTACACTATTTTTTCCATTTTGCACATTTATATTGTTGATTTAATTATTTTACCACCACAGCCTGAAGGCTTCTGGTGGTGGCAGTGGGGGATTTTGCAGCAACTGGGAGAGTGAGTACACCCTGCAAGCATATGGGTGTGCATTAAGGTGGAAGCTGCTTACTATTTTTCAACATCATAATACCACCATAGCAGCTCAAAATCACAGTTTGATATTTTTTTTGGTCACTCCACAAGCTAACTGTCAGCTTTCTAATGTAAGGATTATGGTGGTGATAGTTGGGGATTTTGCAGCAACTGGGACACAAGCCAACTGTCAGCTTTCTAATAAAAGTAATTGGCCAGTTTATAACTACCTGATTGCTTTATGTGACCCCTGGAGTGTTCCCCCCTGGCACAATCCCCTGTCATGCTTCCTGGGCTCCACTATCCTGGCCCAGGACACACACGGCAGGCATCGCTGATTGGAGAGGAGGAAGACCAGTGAACATCCATTCGCTGAGTGAATCTGGAAGCGACTTAAAATGTCACTTCTAGTTTCTGTTCTCACTTTCCCCGACCCTTGCGGCTAACAAGAAGCGAATGGAGTGTGATCTGTGCTCCATTAGCTTCAACAGAAGACAGGTGAGACATCTGAGGTCTAAAAATGTTTGTGTGCCTTAAAATTAACTTTAGTGTATTTTTTACTAAATGTTTTAACGCACATATTGTGTGACGTAAAAATGTTGAAAATATCAGGAAATATATAACGCTTGGGGCTTTTAACTAATGTGCAGGCTCACAAAAGGATTTTGGAGGAAAGCGTGACAGCTCGTGAGGAGAGAAATGGTGATAACCGGCATTTCCCTATTTACATGTGATCAGCTGTGATTGGACACAGCTGATCACATGACCGAGCCGACATCTTCGGCTCTTTCCGTTGATCGATGATTCGCTGTGTCCGAGGGAATGTCGCCGTGCTGTGTGCTCCTGGAGGCGCGCATGCGCAGTTAGAATGGGACGATGTCATAATATGTCCTCCCAGAACAAGAGAACCGCCTTGCGCCCGTCATTACACTATATGGCAGGCAGGAGGCGGTTAAACCAAAGTCACAACCTTGTAATTTTATATAAAGTAAGGCTGAATTAAAACTGCTGTCAGATTTATTTTTTATGTAATTTGTCTCATTAGGGAGATTTCCCTTTACTTCCTGTTCTTCAGACCCAACAAAAAGTGAAAGGATATCTTTTACAGTTGAGAAGAATCCCCTCTAAAAGAGTTGCCACAGCAACAGGTGTCCCAATTGGAAACTTTCTTCTCTATTCCTGTTCTGTGACAAATCAGGTAGAGATTCTACCTCTTTTGTTAGAATTGCTTTCACTTCTTGCCCCCTATTCCTGAGACAAGAGGTGCAAAATCAAAATTTCAAGCACATTTCCATGTCCCCAGAAATTCTAAACCCCTTCCCTGTCACCGGCGCAAGATCGCCGCCACCAACAGGCGACAATCTCACGACCACTGCCACCAATATGCCACGGTCGCGGCAGCAGACCTTCTCACCAAACTCGTGACCGAAGGACCGGCCGATCTAAAACTGCGATGTGATGTGTGCGTAACAATGCCACACCCAGCTGTACCCTACACAGCGATTTTCCAGCTAATGGTCAACCGATCGATGTGCCGTCAGCCTGAGCGATTGTTACTGGGTCGGGTTAATTACGCAACTAACCCTTCACTGCCACCACCCCTTTTTGTACAGAGAAAGGGGAAACGCTCTTTAACAAATATACACTGTAATGGTTGAAAAGTAATCTGTCCAATACAGTCACCGCAGGCCGATTGGGCATAGGATTAAACAAACACAATAGCGTTCTCTTAAAAGGCAGGGATTCGTAAATTGCAATTAAAAGCTATAGAAACAGTTCAACATTTTCAGAAGAAAGATTTATTACTAAAAGGGTCAACAGGTGCAATAAAAATATTTACAAAGGATATGTAACTAAGATATATATATATATACATAGAAAGAACCATATCACAGCAAAGAGATATCAGAGAGGAAGTTAAAGGACTAAGTTACTTGCCAATTAAGCCTTAGCCTTAAGCAGATCCAAGTTTCAGAGCAAAGGGTCTCCCCAGGTGGTATATTGATGTTACAATTGGGAGATGTCTTCAACTTCCTTTTTAGGCCTGCTAGCCTGTGTTTTAAAGTCCCCCAGCAGGGGGTGGCTCTGAGTAACTGACCAATACTCTGCTTAGGGAGGGATCGTCGGGGACTCTGAATTAGAACCAACATCTGTCATAATCCATGATATGAAACATAGGGGACAAACTGACTTGAGGAATGTTCATTTAATTCTGTCACCTAAGCTGCTAGGTTTTATGAGGTTACAATCTCTTTCAATTCCTGGGAAAAGCTGCCTTATCTTTGTTACGAAGTGAGAGATTACATCAGTTCTGGGGCAGCCAGGCTCTGTCTCTCTTGGGGGGCTTTGGGGCCCCTGCTGCTCTTCCAGCCAGTGACACTTTTAACACACACACATCTGTCACTGTGCCTCTCAGGAAGGGAGGGGGAAGGAGAATGAGAAATGAGAGACACAATATATACTCCGTACCAAGATGGAGGTGCCTAAAAAATGGCTGAACTGCGTACTTCACTGTGTTTTATGCAGTTTTTGTGATGTGTATCATTATTCTAGTAACTAGTACTCAATAAGACAGTGGTGCAAACCTGTTAGTGGTTAATTCTGAAAACATATCACATTTTTAAACTTTGAAGAAAATGCTATAATCTAAAGCAACCTTTTTGGCATCTCAGAACAATGTAATATAAATGTTATAATACAATGGCACACCACATTTGGGTTTCTAAATCAAGAACATAAAATGCAACCAAATGTTGTTTTTTTTGGCTTTGAATGGAATGGGAGAAGGTTTAAAACCTTTGTATGTTTTCTACTGGTATCTCTACCTCTTTTGTTAGAATTGCTTTCACTTCTTGCCCCCTATTGCTGAGACAAGAGGTGCAAAATCAGAATTTCAAGCACATTTCCATGTCCCCAGAAATTCTAAACCCTTCCCTACTTAAATTTTTTTTATAAAACATAAACCTGTTTTGACTGGGGTTGTGAGCTTTTGGAGTAAAGAGAAAATATTCCATTTTGTTAACATACAGTATCTAGGGATATTTTCTGTAATTAACATAATGTACCTTACAATGTACATGTTCCCTGCTTTTCTATGTTTTATGAAAAAGCTAAGTATGCACTCCACGAATAAATTATATAGATAATCCAAATTTGTCATGGTTGAATAGGCGCATAAAGAAGCCAGCAGGAAACAGGTAGTTCTGCTTTTTGCTTTCTAAACAACAATGGCATTTGCTACAGTCATTTTAAAGATTATGCTTCTTAAAGTTTCATTCAAATGTTTACTAAGAGCTGGTATTCATTTGCTTTGCAAAATAACCAACTTTAGTTTATTGTAAAATAAATGATCAGGAACTCATGCACATCAGAGAAAGTTGAAGATATAAGCTTGAAGTGTGAAGATGTATTGAGCAAAACTTGTATTTTTTCAGGATTAGCTATAGTGCATCTGTTCAACCAACATCTTAAAACTTAATTGTTGTTGTCAGTGTGGTATTCTGGAAGAAGAGATAGCAGAAACTCGTGAGATAAAAGTTTGCATTTTAAATGGCCAACAGAAATTCTACTATTAGAGATGCAAATGATCATATAAAACTCACAATAAACTAAATGGACCTTCAGAATTATTGGTTGCTGCCAAATGATTTCAGTTTCTGCCTCTACGTAATGTGAAA